TTTTTGAATCCTATTCCTGAGGTTTGAATATACAAGTCCAGTCTAATTTGAAACACAAATCATCTAGCCCAATAGATCACGCGGCAATTTTTTCAAATTTTATAGTAAAATCTAATTGTGTATGATTAAACTACTAAATATACTTCTCTTTTTTGGTGAGGGAGGATACCCACCGCTGATAGTAGGAATAAGATAGCTGATATATCTAAAAGAGTAGCACAAAAATATTAATCACAGCATCGGGTCACTCAAGAACATGCATTAAAGACAGAGAATTAAGAAGGCATGAAACGATGGAGAAACATCGAGAAAATTGGTCTGTGGGCTATCAAACTTTTGACAGGTAATGATAAAATAGATCCTACTCAAGAAACGTGTGGCGTCCAAAACCTTTAGCAACTAAAATTACACCCCGAAGAGCAGGCAATCTTGTACCTGAGTTTCAGGTCCTCCATTCTGTGATCCAAACTGTCTGCGTACAGCACTGTATCTAGTAGCAATACAAACTGCTCTAGATAAATAACAAGAAGCATCTGCTACAATTCTTTGACGGACATAAACCATGGTTCCATAAACAAGCTGCCGCGGCACATCTGATTGCTTATATTTCCCTTCCCTTGTCACCTGTGAAACCCTGAAACAGTAAATTACGTCAGTTCATACTTTCCACATCGTTTAAACATGTCATAACTAACAAGTACAATAATATCTATGCAAAAAATTAGCATGCATGCAATGTCGATAAAACATTGCTCTGCTCATGATAAATAGCATCGATTGGTCATTCGAAATACTCAATCATAACAAATGAAGCATAAATGACATTAAATTAACAAAGAACAGCAAAATGGCATCTGAGATAAAAATATGCCTCATCAACATCTGATTTCTTGGTATGCGGACATGATCAAATCTCAACACTCCATTGTCCATGGTGTTGTATGCTCCATTTCCAAATTTCATTCCAATATCACCGACAGTGATTCCCTGAAGAGAACTGTGGTCCTCCAAGCTCCGTAGTTGGACAATAAAGCCTAAAAAGAACAAAGTAAATATACAATATCTTGTTGAAGGAATTACACAATAACAGTTACATGAACAAAAGGAGGATGACACATACATACCATGAACACCATGATCTTTACCATCTAGAATGAGACGAGCATAAACGACTGCATGTGTGGATATTTTGCCCAGTCCACCAGGCCACCACTATTCGGGAAAAACCATTTGGAGGAAGGCCATGGAAAATAAAATAAATCAACATTCTAATTTTCAAATATCAGACCAAATCACGTCAAAATTTAGCTATTATTTGAAAACAAAGCAACACATCCCCTTATTTGCTTAAACGGAATATAAGCCAAAAATCTTATTCAAGTCGAACTCACTTTGCTTGAAGTCAAAGTAGGACTGTGAATTATGAATTCATCCGTATGAGGATCAAATGTTGCTGTGGTCTCCAGACCTTGAACATTTGAACCGTGACCAAGTTCAGTTTGTGCATAGCAACCGATTATCTGCATCTTGTAGGCCAATGGCAACCATTTCTGCTGTTGTTCCTCAGTGCCCTGGCCTTTGATCGCCGGTATGAACATTCCCTGAATAGCAAGGAGCATGTTATAATGGTGGATCCTTTTAATTTTAAAATATCAGAGAAAATATCTTCTCCAGCAAATAACGAAAATCTTAAAGAATAGGCTACCCAATGAAGATCAGTATAAGCTGGTTCATCCACATAAAACCTTAATTTAGATGCCTCTTCTTCTGCAACCATGAACATCATAAGGACGGCATTAGATACTCTCACTGATAAACAAAGACGGCTGACATCACTTTAAAGTCTGGAGAAAGAGCTCAAACCCGAAAGACGAAGCTCAACAATCCGTTTCCAGGCATAAGCTGCTTTTCTAAGGGTCTGTTTGAACAATTCCTTTCTTGGAAGCATAGTTCTGTCATCTTTACGGAATACCTAAATCCACCATGATAAAAGCATAAAACTTTAATTACAGACAAACAAAGAAACCCAAATAATTTCACATGACTTCAGATAAATTTAAAGGAGATCAGTCTTCTATTCAGTTTAGCAGGCTTTCGATGCGCGGTTTATAGACTTCCAAGTTTCCATTGTTTTCACGGGGCAACTACGGCTTCCTTTGTTCAGGGAGAATGAAGAAAGGGGAATAACAAGATTCAACTAGTATTTTTTATTATGAGTTACTCTGTGTTACCAGGACATATATATTTTAGCAGTTTATTATATATGTGCATGTAACATTGCCATTTTTCTTCCACTAAATATAAAACAATTATTTCACATTGCAATTGACAAGTAGAACTAAGAGAAGAAAGATACTGGTTTATAAAAATTTCCTTGGTCCATTACTTCTACTTAATCTTCAGAAAAACATCCAATCAATAATTATTGCCATTTTCCAGTAATTCCACTATTCACCCCGTCAAAGTTTCAAACTAATAATGCAACTCCACCAATACTAGACTATATCTAACACTAAAGCAAATTCCATCAACATTTTCTGACTCATACTATATCAATTTCACAGTTCATTCATCTTTGTTTAGCATGATGTTTTGCAGATATTTCTAGACAATAACTAAGCATATCAAATTCAAGAACACAACAAAGCTCGAACATCCACACAAAATACTCGTAAATGGAAACTTGTAAGAGTCACAGCAACTCTAACCAAATTAGCCCAGCTTCAGAAAACTCGAGCTAGTTTATCATGATATTTCACATATTTCTACAAAATACCTAAGCGTGTCAAATTCAAGAACACAACAAGCACACACAAGCACAAGATACTCATTCAAAAAACACGTACAAATCACAGCAGCTCTAACCAAACCAAAATCCACGAAAAACCCCCCAAAAACTCCATCGAACCATAAATTTGCCCAAAATTCGATCGACCCAAATCAATCCTCGCACAAATTCCCCCAAAATCGAAACAGAAAAAAAAAAAAAAAAAAAAAAAA